ATGGGTTTCTTTTGTGTCTCTCCAGCTTGGACTGTCTGTTCCATTTGAAATGTTGCTCTCCTGCTGTTCTTCCATTTTCTGCTATTTGGCAGTGATTGCATCCAAGCTGTGAATAGTTTCTGAGTGTCTGCTTGGCCTTGGTTTTACAGCTGTATATAATTTGTATGCAGGTTTTTATGTGTGTATGTGGCTGCCAGATGTATAGCCTAAGCTGGTGACTTACATCAGTTGCATGTGTACTGATTAAATGCGGTTCATAAGTGCTGCAACTCAACCCATAATAGTCTGTAAAGTCTCTGGCTTATACTGTCATACATAAAGCTGAATTTCAAGAGCAGGTTTAAAAACCAAAAAATTCATAGGAACAAAATGAGGTGGATTTGGAATAGTTGCTACTCCAGCTCTAAGCTTTGTTGTGGTCTTCCTATTGTTTGCTTCTGCTTTTCAGGGTAACCACAGGTAGTATTAAGAGCTTAATCATCCAAAAGGATGACTCAAAAGTATGTGATCAGTGTTTTAGCTGTGTGGTGCTCTGTGCCTTTAAGACAGTGAGGCTTTAGGTCCTGAAGCTTGGTGTTATCAACTGTTTGCCTCCAAACCTGCAGGTAAGACAGGGTTTGCACTGTCAGTGGATTTATTCCTCATCCCCTGTGGACAAGGGGGAGGAAAGAAGCCTCAGACAAGGCTCCTTTATACTTTTTCTTCCCACTTTATTCTTGGCTTTTTTGTCTTTTCTACTGAAAAATCTCTGCATTCAAGTATTGATAGAGATCAGAGACTTGTGAGAAGCTGTTCAGCCCCCAAACTCCATCTGCTCGGGTTTTTTCTTATACAATAAATAAAGGCAGAGATAAAAATCTCTGCTTGGCACCAACTGGAAATTCTGCTTATAACTGATTACTTGAGCAGAAATAGTGAAATAAAGGTTTTTAGTAGAATTACATCACCGGCCTGAGTTCTTAAAAGCTCTCGAAAGCATCTTAAAGCTGTCCTTGTGAGGTGCGGCGCAGTGCAGCTCAGAGCAAAGGTGTCAAGTCCTGAAGGCCTTTCATGCCTGACATCTAAATCAGCACTGCTCAGGTATTGAGATCCTGTCCTTCCTGTCGAGTGAGGCTGGAGCTCGGTAGGTTTGTAGGTCAAGGCTGACGGGTTCTCTGACCCGGCACGTGTTAGTCTGCCATGAAGCTCACGCCAAGACTCGTGTAAGTAAAGGTGCTCTTACATAAACTGTGGAGAGAGAAGAACTTGGTACTGAAGTGGGCAGTACCTGCACACATGTAGGAGGGGAATACTTAATCTGAGAACTGTGACTTTAATGAAAGATGTAAATTCAGAATTTCTTCTCTTGGAACAGCTTGTAGGGGGTGGGGACCAGGTTCTAGGTCTGAGATTTTCATTCCACAGTTCCAGTTGGGCGGGGGGGGTGAAACCAAAAACACTTGCAGCTGTTCAATGCTGGGCAACTTCAGTTTGTATCACTCCTTGTATTCATTTTCTCGATTCAAAATGAGTAGTTTGTGCTTCTCCCATGGCAGAAAATAGGGTCACCAAGGGAAGAAAAGCTAATCGGCAAAGATGAGGAGTCAGGGGGAGAACACGCTTTAAACTTGACAGGCAAAAGCCATTTTTCATCTTCAGAAGGAAGAAAGCATCCAAAATAATCAGCAGAGGGGGGAGAGATTTCCCTTCGGGGGAGGGGGGGGGGACCACCACCACCAAAACTGAGTCAGATTTCAATTAAGGTTTGAACTGACTTTTTGATGTGTAGGCTGTTCATCGCATTGTGTAATAGTGAAACATCTTGGAGCAGAAGCTTGGTGTGCTTCCTGCTGTACGTGCCATTGCAGTTGAGGCCTTTTATCAAAAGTCAGTGTCTGTTGAAGCCAGGGGTTGCTTATTTTTCTTCCCTACAAATATGCCCAACTGATCAGACTGTGCTGTGCGTCCTAATCGTGAGGAATGCCCATGGTAGTTCTTCACGGCACTAGCTGTGCTCGGTTTCGCACGTTAGCACCGTCAGCTTGCTGATACACGGCTGGTACCTTTTTTTTCCCTTAAGGCTGAAGCTGCGGAGATGGATGGATTTCAGGCAGACACCGAGGAAGATGAGGAAGATGATGACTGCATGATTGTGGATATACAGCCAGGCAAAGGTGGGAAAGCAAATTGATAGCAGTCTCTTGACAGATGCTTGCTCCCACAAGGGAGAGTATGACAAAGTAGGAACAGTGTGTGGCTAAACTTGTTGCAGTTTTTCTGCCACCTTTTTCACCAAGCCATGTGCTCTTCTTTCTAGATGTTTTATTTTAGGTACTTTGCTGCTTTTTATGTTTTATTCTAGATGCTTCTTTGCTACTTATAGTCTTCTCTAATCTGCTCTTGCCCTTTCTTACCTTCTCCCTCCAATCGACTAAATAGAGCAAAGTGCTTGTGACTAGCATTTGGCTGTTGCTGTTACCATTTTTTTTCTGGTAAGAAAAGTGACCATTGGGGTCAGTATCAGCAGATCCACTAACTATTGGTAAATGTCGCTCAGCAGGGCTGGTCTCTGGGGTGTGCATACTTGCGTTCAGAGCCCTTCCAGGACTGACAAGGTCTGGAGTGTAACTTCCCCTCTGCTGCCTTCTTGAAGTCTTAGGTGCAGGCTGAATTGTCTGTTCTGAAGGAAGTAACATCAGATAATAACGAATGTTTGACAGGTGAGGGCTCTGATCAACACTCTGCGCTAGAGTCTAAGCAGTTGCTTATATTTGTGTCCCAGTTATCCCCTGGAGAAGAGCTTTCAAAGCTCCACTGCTATAGTGCATCCTTTCAGGCTGTGGATTCAGAAACAGTGGGACGAGGATGTGGAGCGGCTCCTTTAATCTCAGTGAGGTTTTAACTATACATATTTGATCATACAGATCAATGACTTAACACCAACCACATGGTGTGCATTCAGCTCCTCTAAACTGCTTTCAAAACCTCCGAGCCCTTTCTTAGTGTTCTCACAATAGAGCTCTTTCACAATGCTGCTGGCACAACCTGAAATAAGGAAAGTGGGTTTTTTGTGTTGGGCAGCTCCTCTAATTGATAGATAAGGGCTTGTGCGTATTCCTGAAGCCTTACATTCTATAGAGTGTTTGACCCATTCTAGACATATCTGGGTTCTCCTTTCTATCTCAGCTGGTGCTCCATTCCTCCTCTCGCCTTCCATAACAGACAATATAACTGTTTGACAAGAAGATTTGCATTTAATCTTAAGCTGCTTTTGCTTATTACAAGACTGCAGCGAGATGAAAGCCTTGCTTCAGGTTTGTAACCTCTTGTTCTGAGGACGGGGATGCTATTCAGTAACTTGCCTTCCTCGGGCTTTGTTGACATGCATGCAGCTGTATCTGTTTAAGTCTGCCCAAGTCGAAAGCACTGAAAAGATTATGAAGATCCTTTTTAAGGTTGAAGTAACTTTATTCTGGATTGATGTTAACCCAATATTAAAACCAGTTTTTAAATAGTGTTGAAAAGGAGACTTGCAACACACATGGGCAGACAAGCTGAGACAGATAAAGCATATGGTAGTCAAATTCTAGTAGATTAATGAGGATATTTTAAAAAAAAAAAAAAACCAAAACCACCAAACAAAAAACCCCAAACCAACACATTTTCTACTTTGCAGATTCTACATTGGCAGTTACTGAAACAGCTTCAGAATCCAGTGGCACAAGAGCCGCTCAGCAGGACACCAGCATGGTCAGCCCATCTAATACAGTTTGAGACGTAAATGCCTACTAACTTCTCTGTATGTATGTAGAATGAGTTAGAAAATTTTAAACCTTGTGTATCTTTGAACAAGATACTTGAAAGTATTCCACATTTCTTGTAAAGAGAAGACAGCACTTTGTTCTGCTTCAGACCAGATGGAAGCTTAAATTTTTAGTTCTAGTTTTTAGCTTTAAAAAATACTGCATATTAATCTGTCCTTAATAAAGCATTATTGAAATTTTGATACTTCTTTGTAATGGAAAGTATCTAAGTTATCTCTAAAACTAGTGGAGGGATTTTGAAATAAGCTTATTGTGATGCCACTGGGGGAATTACTCTGTTCATAATGTTGTATAGCATGGCCTTGGGTATAAATGATGTACAATTATATTTGAATTTATGCTATCTATATCATCCTGTTTGTGGTCTTACTTGCTACAGAGAACAGCAGCAGGGCTTTACCTTTGGAAAAGAAAAAAAAATGCACCTTGTTTCTGCTATTTTGGGATAGGCTAGTATTAATTACGTATCAGGAGTAGATTATAGGTCTCCTGTACACATTGCTACAATAGAAGCTGTATACATAAAAGCTGGTCTCTACCCCACAGAAAAACTTTAAGATTGACGTATAAAGGACTGCACTAGCATCAAACTTGTTTACATATGTAACAAACTTGCTGGGGCTTTTAACTTTATATGGCTTGTGTGTTGATGAATTAGTTCCCTAAAATACTGGCTGTAGTTTGAGGCTTAATTGCTTGCCAGTGGGCAGCATAAATAGGTGTTGCCTGTTGTTGGTCTCCTGGTCTGTCCCCTGTTCTGTCTGCAGGTGCCATGAAGTGAAAAGGTGGGTAATGCCACAGGTGCACCAGTAACACCAGTGCCAGCCCCAGCACTGACTGGAGCTTGTCTGCATTTCACACCTCTAAGAGCAATGCAATTCAAATAACTTTAAACAGAACTGAGTCTTTAAATATTCCATTTAATCAGACTAAGCATAATTGTATCTAAATATATTCTCTCCAATAGGAGTTACAGTGCACACAGAAGCAAAAGGAAAAGCTGAGTTCTAAGCCCAGCCTGATATCCAGGCTCAATCGATTGGTAATCCAGCCTAGTACTAGCACCTAATCCCTCCTCCAAGGGAGGAGAGTGATGCTTCATCATGGTCTTGGAAACAGCTCAAGCAGTCACTGCTAGAACTTGGTTTTTAAACCATTCAGAGCAGTCCTGTGTCTTACTGGGCAAATCTGCCTTAGTGTATGGCTACTGGAGTTGTAGAGGTGACCGCAAGGTTGGTGTGACATGGTGGAATCTAGACTCCCACTCTGCAGAGCTAAAACAAAGTCATTTCTGAGGTCACGTAGCTGGAAGCTCCAACAGTCTGTATGGGAAAATGAGGGAACAGTCTAAAACCACCAGCACTGAATCCACTCCCCTTTATTTCATAACAGTGTCTGGACTCTGGAGAGAAGTTCTGGTTTCAGGGGGCTTGCTGGCTGCTCGTCTCCCAACGCCTGGATGTCTGCCATGACTGCTGCGTCCCAGGCGAGAGTCAGGAGGGCTGAGGGCACCTGGAACAGAAAAGGCTGTGTTACTAAGCTATAGCATTGTTATACTTTGACCTCATAACATGCTGTGTATGTTCACAGACCTGGAAAAACTTAGCAAGAGCACTTCAGCTAAAAAGGACAAGTGTGGATTTCTGCAAGAAGCTCCTCAGGGGATGCTGCTTTGGGCTTTCTGCTGGAAGCCTTGTGCTAGAGCTGCGCTTGTCTCAGTTGCTGCCTTCCCTCTTTTCCCAGTGTGGATGCTAACCCTGCGATAAGAGCTGCTGGCAACTACTGCAACCTGCATTTGCTACAGGAGGTGGGTCCTTGCAGTTCCTTCCAGACAGACCACCTAGCCTTGAGCTAGAAGCCTTCAAGCAGTTACTTCTTCACTTGAGCATAAAAAGAAGGGGCCAGAGCACAACTCACAGCACTGAGAGCAGAAGACACAAACTTCTCTAAGTTATGAACAGCAGATGACTCTTGACAATGTGAAGACCCCTGTGGAAGCTACCAGCTATCCTTTTTTACTCACCAGCCCACATTCATTGAAGGCCAAGTTCTCATCAGTCAGCTTGAGACCTCCAGGTCCCAACAGCTCAAAGGGCAGCCAGTCATCTCTGAGTGCTTCTCTCACAAAGTTGTAGAGCACAGATACTGATTCTCGTGCATAAAAAGTCCCTGCCATGAGAAAACAAGGTGAGATATTGAGAGTGAGTCTGGCATTTACCAAATCTAACCTTTTGTGGTAGGTTTCATGGGGCTTACGTACTGATGCTAACTTCATGAACTACTTCAGTGACACAGAAACAGCCTGAATCAGCTGAGAAATATAAAAGCAGAATCCCCAAAGAAAAATATTACTTCAATTGTTGCAAACCCCTGCCAGCCTGTAACAAAAAGTTGGGAAAGCCTGAAATTATTTCCAGAGTTCTACTGCAAAATTTGAAGAGGATTTATACTGTTGTATAGCCTGACACCACGCAGGCAACCTCACGCTGGTTACTATAACAGACTGCTCTAATGAGTCCAGCTTGCTCGCAGTAGCCTAGGAAGAGCACACTTTTAATTAACAGCGCCTTGAGATTCTCCCCTCTTCACTCAACCTTGGCTGACAGTCCTGACCCTGTGCAGGTGAGGCAGGTGGAGGGCTCACAGATGGGAAGAGTTCTTAGAGAAACATTACCCTGCTCTGGTTTTTGTTGCTTTATTCTACCAGCTGTGTTCAGCAGACCTCAAGCCTGCTTATTATTCAAGCTCTTGCACTACAAGTATTCTCAGAAGCTTTTGGGGGCGTACAAAGAAACGGTAAGAAGTCTTTTACCTTGGAGGATGTATCCATCGGGAAACCGGACTCGCACCAGGGTGTAGTTGTACTTCCGCATTTCCCTTTGTTCTTCTTTCTCTCGCATGGCTCTTGTCCTCAGCATCGAAGCCTTCTCCACTGCTTCTGTCCTTTAGAGAGAAAGCAATGTTTAGCATGAAGGAGAGCTACAAGACTCTTAGCAGGCATCGTGTGCTCCCTGCGCAGTCAGGACCCTCCTTCTGAGCCTACTCACCGGAGCCGTTGCTCTCGTTTGATCTCTTCTGCAGTGAGGTTGTAAAAGTCGCTTGGCAGCTCAAACCGAGCAGCTTCAGGGGATGGTTTAAATACACAGAGCTGGCGATCCAGCTGGGCTCTCACAGGCTCAGAGCTTAAAAGCTGCTCTTTGTAGTCCTTGAGGTCTTCCAACTTGGTCAGCATTTCTTCTTTCAGTACGTAGTACTCCTCTGTGGTCTCTACAACCAAAAGGACAGGACTTGAGTCTCTTGTTCTTTACATGAGTAACATATGAAATATAAGGGCAAGGATCTCCAGAAAATATAATGTCTTAACAGTGAAACTGCAGGGTGGGCGGCTGTTTTTGTCCCAGCCTTGGAGTAACAGCCTTTGTTACAGCTTGTGGAGCTCTCAGCAACCAGTGCTGCCTCGCTAGCCTCCCCTGGGATGTCCCACCACCACTCAAACTCCTGACTCCAGTTAAATACTCTTAGATTTCTTGCCTTGTCCTGGAACAGGCAGTGTTTTTGTCTCAAACCCAATAGCCTGGAAAAATCTGTGTATCCCTTCCAGGCAGCTTATCCTTTCCTGGAAGAAAAGGGAAGAATTTAGATGTAGTTTGTTTCAGGCAAGGACCTTCCTAAGCAGAGCACCTGCAGGAGTCTTGACCTCACCTGAAACACTTTGTTCTGCAGTTTGATTTTCTGGTACTTCTCCTCCTCTGGATGGAGATAGATATTATCCAAGTATCTGCAGGAAGAGGAACACACTCCATGGATCAAAGCAGGCACTTCAGGACACGCTACCCCAAGGTGTAAGAAGCACACTGCCTGAGAGACCTCACAGAATTTCTCACAGATATAAGAGAGCTGAAAAACTGAGGAAAGTCGAATACATCAGTGCTTCATGCCCAAGCCAGACAGAAGATGGGGGTGGCTGATCTCAACCAGCAGCTCCCAAACCTCTTGGACTAATGGACCAACTCTTAAAACACCTGTGAGATGCTGACCTTGTTTCTTAACTAACAGTTAAGAGTGTTTGAGTGTTTGGCTTTGGTTTTCTTGAGACTGCCTGGAGCATAGCAAGAAAACCCACCTGCCTGCTAGCCTTGCAAGGAAAGGACAAGCTACCTGCGCACTCCGTCCTACTAGTGCAGCCCACTTACTTGGCCGTGGTCTCCACACCCACTCGTACTTTCTCCCGGTCCTTATTGAAGGTGTGAATCTCCATGATTGAGGCAGCCACTGGGTCTACAGAGAAATACTGGGGGAGAAGGAGAGAAAATGGTCACGAGGGAGCTGATGCTACTCTGCACAAAGGGATGTGTGGATCTGTTGTGGTTTAACCCCGACCAGCAGCTCAGCACTACACTCATTCCCCCCACAGTGGGATGGGGGTGAGAATCGGAAGGGTAAAAGTTGGGGGGTGGAAAAAAAACCCATGGGTTGGGCTAAAGCCAGTTTAATGGGTAAAGCAAAAGCTATGCATGCAAGCAAAGCAAAGGAATTTATTAATTACTTCCCCGTTTAGCTGTTTCCAGCATGTAATCAACCCTGTTTTCATCACAAATCTAAAACACAGCACCATCCCAGCTGCTCTGAAGAAAATTAACTCTATCCCATCCAAAACCAGTACAGGGCCAGAGTTCCCATTCCCAGCATTTCCCGCAAGCCGAAGGGAGGGTGCTCAGACAGACTTTGTACAGCTACAGCAGAACAGAGTTGCTCTTGGGGAGACAGTGGAGATTTTACAGGGAGAAGATGGTGGGTTGGAGAGCTCACTGCTGCAGTGCTCGAGGGGGCCCAAGCCACAAAACGAATTAAAACAGGAGGAAGGGAAGCCATGGAGCTGGCACATTTGGCACTTACCGACTGGATGGCTTCTCTGATGTGCTTTTCCTTCTTGTCTTTCCTTACAACTGCACCAGTCAACGGGCAAATGAAATAGACTCCTGAAACAGAGGGGGCAGCTGCCCCTTCCTGGTCCAGGGATGTGAGGTCCTAAAGGAGACAAAACCAGGCACTGAGCTGAACCCACGAAGATTTTGTGAGGTTTTTTGGTTTTAAATACCCTGGCATGTCTGCACAGGACAGGGACAGCAGCACAGAGGGTGCTGATCAGGGAACAGCAGCATCTCTCATACCTCTTTCTCCACGGAGAGCCCTTTCTCGCTTGCAGCTGCCTCAGCCATCAGCTCTTTTCGCACTAGAGAGACAAACCCAGGTGACAGCGGCGACGGGGTGAGGGCTCAGCAGATTTCAGAGGGCTCCGGACCGCGCCGCGCTGGGGAAGCGAACGCCTACCCGGGTGCTCTGTCCCTGGCCTGAGAGCCCATGGGTGAGCGTGACTCCCATTTCTACGACACTCAAGCAGTCGCAGAAGCCAGCTGTGCCCCACGACGTTCATGGGAGCTGCACCTGAGCAGTTGCCTACCTGGGACCTCC